GCAAATATAGAAAACTAAAAACAGGAACATGTCTGCATTGGTCCTTGTTGGACTCCTGGCAAGGACCAATGCAGACATGTTCCAGTTTTTAGTTTTCTACATGCGCCTTATAATCTAGCTGTTTTTGCTACTTTTTATTTTTGCCATCTTATTTTAATTTGTTAAAAAAAATAAAATCTGTATGCCTTTTTATAACTGTTTATTGTTGTCATCATTCTTTGTTGGAATCAGGTCTCTCTTGTAACTCAGTCCTCGAGGCTCAATGGGATTAACCTGTCTAAATAAAGGTTGAATGAATTCAGAATCCACGTGGAGAATTTCTCCTCTGTTTCTGTGGTAACAAACCAGTAGTCCCCTAAAAAAGCTTGGTTGTGTGTTCCCCAGTAAGTACTGGTTAACTACCCATTAGCTCCTGCTTTGTTCCTGAGGCGTTCCCTAGCAGTTAATCAAATTAAATGTTGCGTACCTTATTGTAAAGTGTTACATTTTAATTATTAGCATTGACGTTGGGTTGAGCCTAATCTTTTCAACTTACTTACACACAATCTTTAAAATGAATTATTTTCATTTAGTGTTTTTATTTCTTCCTGTTCTTTTCGTTTTGTTGGAACTTTAGACTGGTGCTTTTCACAAGAGACCTTTATTTACTTTGATCTGTTTTAGAGCAGTTGTAAAAAAAAAAAAAAAAAGACCAGGGAAAAGAAATGAATGAATGAATGAATGAACCTCTTAAAACATGACAAATGTTACAGGTAAAATCCTGAGCGCACTCACAGCCCTCACTGAAAGTTAAGGTTTTATCTTTTTTGCTCGCTCTCATTCTTGATGTTTGCAAGCTCAAGGAAGGCGATGAACAACAACAACAACAACAAAAAGAAAAGGATGCAGGAAACCGACAGTTATTGTGATGGAAACCTGGAGAGCTTATTTACTTCAAAACCTTCAAGTCTCTGCACCTCTGTGTGCACAGCCTCGTGATTGTAAAACTGAGAACACCTATATTTCTTTTCTTCTGCTCCTCGCACCTGTTATCTTTGCTGTGGTGTATTCACGGAGCAACGGTTCCTGTGCAGGTGTTAACTTTTTAGCATGTCTATAGGGAGCACAAACAAACAGCTAACTGCGAGTCCCGGTGTTACCTGCACAAACGCCTGGACATAAATCACAGCTGGTGCTCTGACAGTAATTGACAGGAAACAAAACACAACCCAGGGTGGTTCGTTCTTATCTACAAATCGTTCCAAGTCTGAGCGCTCAGTCATAACACAGTGAATTCTTTAAAAATCACACATCATGTTAAAGTCAAATCAAAGTGAAACCGCCTCAGACACAACAGTTTATCATAAATAAAATGTGCTGCCCAGTTTGTCACATGTCATTGTGCTTTAAAGGCAAAACAATGATCCAAGATTGAATGTATGTTCTGGGGGCAGATTATATGAGGCTGGAAACCCTGGCAGAAATGTTTCATTATGCCAAAAATATGTTTTAGAGAGATTATTAGGACAGCAGAATAATACCTGGCAAATAATTTGTTTGCCTTCTCGCTCTCTCTCTTTTTTAACGCATGAATGTGGTCGGGTGAAGGACATGAGCAAGCACCGACTGGAATAACCTATCAGCAGCTCAAATTACATTTCTTCTTGCTGTCAGTGTCACCTACTTCAAACATGTCTCCAAAACGTTTCCAAATAAATTTAATATGCATAAGAAAAACCAAAGTTTAATATTGTCCTATAACATGTTTCTAATTAAATTAATGAGAGAATGGAAAGTTTACGAAAGTGGAAAAAAATAAAAATAAATCCTACTTACTTTTACATTCAAGAAGATGGTAAAGTGACTCGCCCCAAGCCATGATGACATCAACGGAGGCCCTACACAGCAAAAAGGTCATGACATGTCCCACTTTATTTGACAGTTAAAACATGTTTTTTTTTTACTAAATGAGATGTAACAGTTACCTGTGTTTTACATCATTAGACAGAGCTACAAGTTCAAATTTTGTTTTTAATTATCTACTAGAGCATATTCACTTTCAATGACAAAAACTTTATTTTTGCATAAAAAACAGTACTGTAAGTATACATATATATATATATATATATATATATATATATATATATACATATACAGTGTTGGTTTAACACCTAACGTTGAGACAGACTTGAACCAGTATATCACACCTGTTTTATGTTTTGGAGTGTTTTGTGTATGAATGTTTACAAAACATAATATTTAAAAAAATCTGATTAAAAATCTACACAGCGTAATGGAGGATTCAAATAGTTAATGAATAAAATAAGATAAAACAAAATAGGATCATCTGAAGGATCAAGGAATGAGCTAAACTCCAACAAAGTGAAATGGGGTGAGAATAAATGAGGGGACCAGGAGGCAGGAAGTAGAATTTGAGGTGAGCATGAAAACTAAACCTCGATCAGAGATGTCACCAAGACTAGACTGACATGGGGATGGACATCAGTTTGCCGTGCATTGCCTTCTGGCATCTGTATTCAGCATATAGATATAAGTGTATAGGTATTATATCCAAGCAAAATTTATGGAAAGGACATTGCACTGCACTAAAGTTGGAGTTTTTCAGGTTTGAGTCCAGAATGTGAGCAACCAACACCAGAAACCTCCGTGTGGCTCATCATCAGAACTCTTCAAGCTATCTGAGCCAGGACCTCGTATTTAGGACTGAGACAGTCAGGGACATATGAAGACCTGTTTAGTAGATAATCGGTCCCAGATAAAAGTTTGAATCAGGAAATGGGGTGAACTTGAATAAGGTAATCTATTGCTGGACACTGGTCTAAAAAAGTACATTACCATGGAGGGACGCAGCTTGCATGAGAGCCCGAAGAGAAATAGATGGGAGAATGAGCGACCACCTATCCTCACTCTTTCCTGACTAAACAGGCGGCATAATTCTCGCTTTGTTCATCAGTGTCCTTTGGATCATGTCTACATCTGGCTGGTACCTGTTGTTAGCAATGAGATTTTCATTCCTCACAGACCTCCATCATGTCTTTGCTCATGTGTAATAAGCCTCAAGAACTTAACTACTGAGTTGGATACTGCTACCAGTGAGAAACTAGTGCCAACCAGCATGGCATTTGTTAATGTTAAATTGCTAGCAAATAAACTTATATTAGTGACGAAACCAGGGCAGATTGTTAAACTTTATTTTCAAACTTTTGCCCATACCCACTAGAAAAGCTTAAGAATTTCGGTATACTCACTTAAAAGTGCCCAATGATACGTGACATATCATAAGGCATGTGTAATTTATACATCAAATGGCAGTTAAAGGCATCCGTAACAATCTATCAGTATGCAGCGCTTTGCTTTGATACTGTTTGATGAATTCTATAACGTGTTTTTCATACAAATCCAACTGTTGTACAAAGTTTGTTGTTCATTTATTCAAATATAAGCATCAGAGAAATTTGGAAATGCTCAATATGCTTAAAAATCAAAAAATAAATTGACAATTACATTGTAATAACCAGTGTACGTCGGTTTCCAAACACAGTATACCCACTGCAGAAATGTAGACTACACCACTGCCATAGATCACACTCATTTTGAGACACATACCTACTGGATGTGGTGGAAGAGTAGCAGGTCTTTTTAGGGAACGGACAGGCTATTTGTGCACGTGAGAATTATTGTGTGGATTTCAGTGAGAAATTAGTTTCACTGGGTAATAAACTAACAACTAAATATGTCTTGTCATCTGAGGTCTCAGGTAAACATACTGTAGGTTACATGATTCACCGACTCGAGCTGAAGGAGGCCTTTTTATGTACGAAAGGTTTCATGACATAAACAGTGATCGGCCTTTTTGTGAATACAAAGTGTTACTGTGGCAGACCAGGGTAAGATGAGAAGTTTTGAATCATGATCAATGTACAGTACATGAGCAGGGTGCATTAATCTACTGTGTTCACTTCTTAAAAAAGCCTAAAGACATATTGCTAGAAGATTTTAAAGACTGTATTCCTGGAAGCAAAAATACAAAAGAATGAGGAATGACTTGAGACTTGCAGAAAGACATGCTTTTAACTCACTCATCACCGGTATGACATAAGTGATAAAAGCAGACTTGCTTTTGGGATTGCATCATATAAAGCATAGAGCAGTCACTTACAAAAAAAAAAAAAAAAAAATCGACGTGTTTCATTTTTATACTTTCATAAAGAAAGAAAGGAAAAGAGACCTGCAGGCAAACTTAGAAACCAAGAAACCGAGGAAGAAACTTTGAGTAAAAGCTCCACATATAAATGTCTCATTAGTAATCCTTGCTTAAAACTCTCAGATTATGGAGGTGCTTCAACAAAACACACCCTAATAGTTTTAGTTCAGGAAAGTGCTCTCTGGCTGGGAAACATCAGATTAAGTCAGTCGTTACTGAAAGAAAGTAAAACATTCAAAATGTCCGACAGTACCAAAATGCTCAGATTACTGGAGTATTCAAAGTCAGTGCATCGGTGAAGCCAGATGGAGATCGTACTTACATGTGTTTTCTTTTGAGGAGGTATAATGAAGTACGTTTTGCTGCTTTACAGATGTGTGTGCAAAGCCTTCCCAGACCTTCCCTACCTGAATTATTCTGACGGTACAAGCCTACACATGTTGAGCTGAAATACAGGTGCGCCCAGTGTTTACCGAACATTCGGTTCGCTCTTTGTAACGCCTAAGTTTTCAGCAGAAAACAGAAAGAGGTCTTAAAACAACGTTCTGGCTGCAAGACAACATATGGTGATGTGTTTGAGGAGCTGTTTAAAAGCTAAAACAATGCAGCCTTGTGAATTTAACTTGTGTTAAAATGAAAAGAGGTTCACTGCTCTCGTTTTTTGAGGCATGAGGGCCCTCTGATTGATGCATTGATACTGTAACCACGAGGCATACAAAATCCAAAGTTTGCATTTCTTATCATGCCACTTCCTAATAAAATTGGATTAAAATTCACCACACATTCAAATAGACACTTGCCATGTTGTATTATTGTGTTCATTTTTATGTGTTTTCCTTTTGAGATCAAAATTAACATATTTATATGTGTTTTCTTAAAAAATAATTAAAAGTAATTGATAAGCAACAAAAAAAGTGTCTAACTTGTACATAATTTCCCATAAAAAACAACAACATATGTTATTTTTTTTGTTTCATTTTTGTAAAATAAAGATGGGCTGTATCATAAAGCAGAAACTCCCATAGATCACAGACAGATCCAAGCCATGGACAGTGTCATTAAAGCAACGCAACAATGCACAGCATTTCCTCGACTAGATACAATCTAGCAATCAATTATGTTGACACATGAACCACACATACAGACACTTTTTTATAAGATGTTAAAATAGAAAATACACAAATGTCTGCAGGGAACGTACCCATGGACACAGTCTGTGCAGCCTGCGATCTGTGTGATGTATGTTGTATGACACTGAGGCGCTGGTCTGTGAACACCTGGGTCCAGCGTTCCTGGGATAAAAAACACACTCCATTAATTTCCTGATGATGTTCTGAGACGGAAGCTCTCCTCCTTTTTGCACCACAGAAAAGTTTTTTTCAGACTTTCTTACTTTTAGAACACCCTACTTCATCCATATTGTTTTCAATTAGTTAAACACACACTATTGTTTGTTTACAACACACCATACAGGTATTTATTTATAGGAAATAAAGATAGCAATTTTTACATACTGGGCAAAATATGTTAGGTTGTACATTTCATTTACCAGATTATCCTTTACATGTCACATGGAGCTGGTGCCTATATCTCCAGCAGTCACTGTGTGAGAGGTGGGGGACATCCTGGACAGGTCTCCAGTCCATCAAAGGGACACATAGAGACAAATGGGCCAAACAGCCATTCACTCTCTGACTCACAACTATGGACAATTTAGAGTTATCAGATAATCTAAAATGTATGTTTCTGATCTGTAGGAGGAAACCAGTGTACTGTACCTGCAAAAACCCATGCATGCACAGAGAACATACACATTCCAAACAACAACAACAACAACAAAAACATCAACATCAACAACAACTTATTTTTTGTACACTTGTTCTTGCCTCTAGTTCATTAACAAATATTTGGACTTTGGGTGTCAGGTTGGTGACGACTGGAAGAGGACCAAAAACATTTTGGCATGTTAAAACACAAAATGTCCGTCCGTCCGTCCGTCCGTCCGTCCATCCATCCATCCATCCA